TATTTTATATATATTTTAGAAAGAAGAAAAACAATGTTTTCATTCATGGACAGAGTAATATATGCAAAAATGACTCTGTCGTCCGTTTAGTGGTAAAATGCTCTTTTGATATACAAAGCTCAACTCAATCAAAATATAAATATGATTTTCGTAATCAGCGCTCAAAACTGCATATAAATGGTATACTTCAGAGAATTTTTTAGGAAAAAGTTTTCGATTCCTGAAGGGACTATGCGGGGGGGGGGGGGGGGGGAAAAAAACCAGACTTTGAAATGGCGCGAAACTAGGTAATGGGAAACACTTATAGTGAACTCCTGACATCTCGCAAATAGACAAAAGTAAAAAAAACTTTCTTGGATAAAAGAATTGTTATCTCAGTCCATATCCTTTTCACAGTCTGATTATCATCAAAACAAATTCTGGATATTCATGTTTTTTTCCATTTTGACGATAGAAAATCATTTCAAGCTTGTTTCATCGAACTAGATCTATTTTCATCATCAGTAAACATCAATTTATGAAGCTCTATATATAAAAGGAAGAATTGAAAGTTTACTTGAAAACGAAAACGATGGACTTCGCCGCTTGCACTGGTGAGAAAAACCCACGATACGGTAATGATTAATATGGCTACGATTACTTCAAAAATCAAAAGTCAAAGTTCCAAAGATCCAAGCACTACATGAAAGACTCCGATCAAAGTTTCGAGAAACTTCGAAATATTTAAATGAGTCGACGATTTCGAGATTGAATCTAACCAAAGAGTAATGGATGTAATCTGTTTCGAGGCAAAAAATAATATTATATTAGTATCACTCATTCGACATGATAAAATAGGGACAAATGTAGGTATTGATTATGAAATAAAAAGCGGTCATGGTAAACAATAGATAACAGTTTACCTCTCCGAGATGATACGGGGACTTATATGCTCACATCTTCGTCGGCAACAGCAATAGCTATATTCGATGCAAAAATCGATTTTATTTAAATTTTCAACCAAAGAAAATTTTTTTAAAGAACTTAAGAATAAAGAAAATACGAGCTTCCAAAGCTAAGCAAAGTATGAATCGAATAAAAAGTAGTCTGTAAAATACCAGTTTCTTTGCCAAAAAAAGAAACAGATTATCTAAGTGTATTCTAACATCTTTCGTACTGTTAACTGTAAAACTCTGAGATTCGTGTCAGATACTGGCTCTACTGTAGTTTATTGCATTGAGTCATGAAATTTTTCTTTAAAGTACGCATTTCATTCATACAAAAGCTATGGTAATACGCTTTTTTTTGAATAACGTGAGGCTCAGATATCTATTACCATCATTTATATGAAGAGTTTCGTGCTTTCACTCCATTCGAGTGGCGATGATAAGCTTTTATTATATGGAAAACTTTATTCTCTACCAAAAGCAAGTCGTATAATCATTCATTCGAAAAAATTCTTCACGTAGCTAAGTAAAAGAAGATTCAGACAAGAATCATTCTGGGTTTATTCTAGCGCTTCATTTAAACCAGACTAGGTTCAGATAACATTTGCCAGACATAATTAAATCTTTGGAAATAACAGTTTTTTTACTTTGATTTAAGAAAATCACACTCGTGACTTTGTCACAATGGCTAAAACAGAAGTATACGAAAAATAGAAATCATATTTTTTAGATTTTTTTAATAGAATCAGACCCGCATTCTGATATCACATGTATAATATAACAAGCTGTATCTTCTATATATATACAACAAGTGACACTTACGAATTCTATATGAAATATCTCTTGCGACAACGAGAAATATAGTAAAAACTATATTCATAATTGAAAGTGTTATGACTCATTTTAAATGTGAATACTAATTTTGTTAACTCTCATTTAAAAATATTAAACTTTTTTTTGCAACGGGGAAAAAAATAAATTGGTAAGATCAATCAATATCGACTATTTCAAAGATGTGATACGTAGTTTGTCTGAGAGATACAGATTTGTTTATATTAGTACTCTGTATATATTTATTTAATTCTACTTACTTTATTCTGATGCTTGATAGTAGACTTTGCAATTGGGAAAAAGTCCAACGTATCTCTGGTTCTTTGAGGCAACATTGTGTAATTAGTGTCCACTCATCAGTGTGGCATTTAGATGGTGGCTGTAATTGTTCACCTCTTAATCGTCGTTGTCGAATTTCATTGTTACTCATATTTGCATAAGGAATTTCTCCTTGTGAATAAGCTTCCCACATGAGTACACCCATCGAATAGACATCTGATGCTTCTGAATAATTTGATTTACCTCGAGTATGTAGAATTTCAGGTGCACAGTATCGTACGGGGATGATTAGTCGATCATTGTCATTCAACGTTTCATCAGTGTGCTGCGCATTATGAAAATTCGTTACCTTGACCAAATTTCCTTTTCGTTGATTTGAATTCATTTTGAAGACAAGTACATTACGACAACATAAATCACCATGAACAATATTTCTTCCAGCAATATAAATCATGGCATCAACAATTTGACCAAATATTTCAATAAGTACTTCTTGTGAAGGCTGAAATCCATCCTCTTGTAACAGAATGCTCAGATTATGAAAAGGTGCACGTTCTTGTAACAACATTGGCAAATGACGATTATTATTGACGAAACCAAATGTATGAACAATATGATCATTATGATTGAGTTGAATATAAAATGATGCTTCACGATATGCAGTTTCATGATCCATTTCGATTAAAATGGTTGGACTTTCATGCCTTGAGCTCCATGTTGCTTGATAAAAACTCTTTCCAAGTTGTCCGAACAGTTGAACACCTTTTTGAACGTCAATATTAAGATTATACTTGTAATGCCATGCCACTCTTCAAGAGAAAAGTATCATAAATTGATTAATAAATTGTCGAATATTTTTCTTATGAACAAAAGAAATTAATATAATAAGTGAGAAAAAATAATGTTTGCAGTAATTTTGTTTGTTTTCTATAACTCAGCGTAGAAGCATTCTGCAATATCAAGTTTATTTTTTTTGAGGATAACCTATGATCTCTTCTATAAAATATTGCAATTAAACACAGTGACATGATATGATATACTCATTTTTTTCGGCTATTCTAAAAACATTTTTGTTTCATACATTATCATAAAGAACAATTTAACTTTTGTGACAGAATATGAAAGATTCCAATCAGAAATGTGGATGTCATGTGTTCATTTATGGTTACCCACACCAAGCTGACCGTTTCAATGTCTATATTCGTGATGATGAAAATTTATTTTTTGCATATTCCATATTAGATAGAATATGTGATAATTCAAATATCAAGTACAATTTTTAGAGAAGTGTCATTTCTTATACATTATCTACTCGACTAATTGTGCTATCATACACAAAAAAATATGCAATCGAGGAGTTGTTACTCGTATTTGTATTTGAGAATTGAGCACTAGAGATTTTGTAAAAAGAAAAGCCACTTATTTTTATGATAGCGTAATACCAGCAACATATTTATTGATATTTGTCGTCGTTTTCCGCTGGCTAAAACTCAATTCAGCAGTTGCTTCAACGGCTCACAAGCCTGAGGTTCACTGGTTTTGTATTTTGCTTGACGATAGAAGATCTCTAACTGCTAAATTGTTGTTGGAATCAGTGACTAGGCCTTTCAGTACGAGATAGAGCAATTTTTAAGTGGATTTCTCTCAGAAAAATGGTTTTTCAAGGAAACTTCAAATTATGAATTTCGGCCACAAAAAGTATATTAAAAATTCGATAATTCAAAGAGCAGCTACTGAAAAATCGCTGGATCGCAATTTCGAACGAGCTCCAATTTAGTCTATATTGATGCAAAGTTAGAATTCAAAATTTGTAATATACATTTTCTTTGAGAAACCGTTTTGCTCGAAGAAATCCACTTGACAACCTCATATTTTGGAGTAACAGATTCAGACACTCAAATCATTCTGAGGCTATGCATCATTCATGGATTCTACCGTTCGAAAATAGTTTCGTTTCAAAAATGCTCTAGCACTTAGAAACCTTCACTCGTAAGATGTTTTCAAGCAGAATCTTTCCCGATTGCTTTGAAACTTCTATTTTCTTATGTACTACTTTCTAGTTTTCACTTTTAAAATGAAGACTTCCTAAGGAATTCAATTGTACATCTATCTGTTTGAAAATTGATTATTTTAATCACATCTTAACGAGACAGCTCAAGTGTTCTAAATATCTCATTTGGACCGATCAAACATAGTTTTTTTGACAATTTATTTTTCATTAGTAGCTAGAATCTAAACGTGAATCAGTATTGGACATAACTAGTATATTATGGTTAAGTTCCCGTCGGAAGTAACGACAAGAACTTGGAAAATATGATTTTCATACAGATTACGCGTAGCTTTTCGATCCTGTATAGACACCGCTCAAAGACGGAAAAGCTCCTTTTTTTTCTATATTTCGAGAGATAGATTACCTTCTCATCAGTTAGTAAAACCACACTAGTATGGGACCAGATTGAATCGCTACGATCGGTGACATGCAGTGGCTCTCTCGGCAATGCTTGGAAAAGTATAATCCTATACCTCATTGACATATTCTTCAAGTACTCAAGAAAGTCCGCACTTGTTCAGCTCTCATGCAACTGATCAATCTGTCAATTACAATTGAGAAATTGCGCGGATTGATAGTCTGTCTTACCAGTTTGGTTTTTCAAATAAAAATAATGTAGGAAGAAGAAATAGCGACGTCTTACTTTTCTATAGCTGATGAGAATGTTTAGGAAATATGTTCAAAGGAATTAATTCTATATCAACAGAGAAACTTTGTACAGTTCATTTTTCATCGTTTCAAACCAAAAGACTTTATATTGCGTAGATTAGAGATTACAATCTAGACATAAGCTAGAATCTGTATTACAGCGCGAGAACTCAAAATTCTTTTATGACTCCGATCGGTTCAATTCCATATTTATATGTAAACGATAGCATCCACTACAAAAAATCATTTTATGTATATCTTTTCGAACTTCATATTTCCATCAATAGTTTAGAAATCGAGTACGTATTAATAAAATTCAGCGTATCATAAACTTATGTTATTTTCATTGTAACTATGGAAAACGAGAGTAATTGTTTTGTGGAACTTTATGAATTGTTACTAATATTTAACTATTTTTGGTAAGCCTGAAAACGGACATGTAATTCTGTCAATTATTGCATCAACTTCAACATTTAGTACTCGATTATGAAAAAACGGTGAGTCATATGTCATTACTATTGATTTTCAGGATATAAAAGATAAAATACCAGTGAGAGATAGATCCTATCGTTTTAGGAGACACTCTACCTTTCATAGTTTCCGATGACGGTGCGATTCATATTTTCTTCCATTCTCTGTATTTATTAAATAACTTGATGAGATCAAAGGAACAATATGAGAATTGAACAACAGGACTGATGAAATGCTTCAAAAGTTTACATTATTTAGAGAATTTTCAATATCTATATTTTACAATAGTAGCGACTAGAAACAGAGCTGAACAAAATGAACTGGTCTTATTGAGAACTGAATGTGTGAAAGTGTCAAATTTGATATAGAAGATGAATGCGAAATATACGACGATAAAGTTTCCGAGATCCAGCACAACAAAATGTATTTTAAGGTTTGTTTTTTCTTTTATTTTGTTCATTAGACTTGTATCTGCTAAGGTATTATCCATTTTAAAATTCATTGATCTCGATTGTAACTTAAGTAACTTCTGAATCATGAACCTTTTCGGGTTGATTTTTTCGTTATAAGAGAATAGCTGCTCATTCACTGACTTTGTCAAGTAGCTATTCAAGAAATACTGAAAAGTTTTCAACTTCAACTGCATCGTCAATCATTGATCTTCAATTAAATATATCTCAAATATTGCTTGATCACTTGCTTCATTTCATATATAATTAATAGATATATACTTTTTTTCACTAACCTTGGTTTGATTCTCGAGATCAATGTTCTCATTTCTGCAAAATTGAAACGTAAATCTGTTTGAGTTGCCCAACACATTTGAATGAGTTCCCAAATCTTTTCATCGAAGTTATCTGGTTTTGATAATTTTTCACCGCTCAATTTTCGCTGTCGAACCTCATTATCATCGGCAATTGATGCATACGGAAGTTTACCTTTCGAACAAGCTTCCCACATGAGAACGCCCAATGAATATACATCTGATGCTTCCGAATATTTTGATTGACCTTCACTTTCTAGAATTTCAGGTGCACAGTATCTTACTGTGGCAATTATTTCATCTTTGCCATTTTTAAGATGATCCATGAATTGTGCATAATCAAAATTAGTCAATTTAACGGAGTTTCCTTTTCGATGATATGGATTCATTTTAAAGACAAGTACATTTCGACAACACAAATTACCATGTACAATTTTCTTACTTGAAATATAAGCCATGGCATCAAGAAGTTGAGAAAAAATCTCGACAAGAACGATGGGAAGTGGTTTGAAATGATTTTCTCGTAACAATGTCGAAAGATTGCCATGTGATGCACACTCTTGTAATAGAAAGATCGAGCCAGAACTTTTAGAATCAACTAAACCGAATACTTGTATAATGCGAGGATGTATTTTCAACTGACGATAAAATTCAATTTCACGTGTAGCTATGTCTTCATCTTTCTTAATGAGCACAATTTTTGGACCCTTTCTTAATAGCCATTCTGCATTATAGACATTATTTTTTCTGGTGCCAGGCATCAGTGCACCTTGTTTGACATCTATATTGAGTGCAAAGTCATAGGATATCGACGGTTTTCTAATAATTGAAAATAAAATTTAATAAATGTATTTATAATGATATGATAAGTAAGACTCCTTCTCCTCTCAGAAATTCGACTTTTTTTTGAAAATGATCAATGTTGAGATAAATACATGAATGAATATTCGGATGTATGTACGTTTATAATTAGTACGGATAATTAAAAAATCACAGAGGTTTTTCACTGAATATTAAAGGTTTTTTTACCACCCATCAGAAATTTTTTCCTAAAGTTATTACTATCATCGTAAAGTACATCTGATTCAAAGATCGAGCAACAACGTTTTTCGCTTTATTTTTATATGATTAGAGAGAAATCGTTGAGCTTTATAAAACTACATAAATGGGAAAATTCTTCAAACACACTTAATTATCGAAGATATTTGCTTTTTGAACAATTTCTCTTGTTTTTGCAACCTAGAAAGTTCTTTTTCTAACATAGTGTGTAACAGTGCAAATAGCAAGATAAATTTGTAACTCCTGTGAAACAAGACGAATGGTTAAACACGCTAATATGTCTGATATTTAAAGTTGTAACAAGTAATAAAAGTTACAATTATTGAGATTAATAAAAAATAATAATTCATTTTTCTAACTAAATTTTATCTCTTCCAGACGAAATTGCATTAATACAAATGAAAACATTATTACTGCAGTAATAAAATTAATAGGAAAAACAAAAGTAAAAACTTAGTTACTAGTGATGATCATAGTAATGTGATACCCATAGCAGAGCAACTCTGCAGAAACATGACTTTTCTCGGTTCCAGTTTTCCATACCAATGTTTTTTTTAGTTCTACTGAAAAGAGAAAAAGAAAGACTAGCACATCAACAACACCAATAAATAACGAAAAGACTCAAGAGGAGAAGATAATAATGATGTTTTACTGCAAGATAATCTGAAACATAGTCGTTTCAAACATACTAATCAGAAATAAAATGATAGTTATTATAATTGACTTTGACTAATTTTTGTTGATAGGGATTTGTTATTTTCTTTCTAATTAATAAGCGATACAAAAGTCGGTGGAAAAATATCGAATTCTATTTCTCAAAGATGTAACATTGGATTGACTTCGATTTTTTTGTTTTTGAAATAATAAAGTTTGGAGAGTATATACATACAACAGAACAATACAAACTAATTTTTTGGAATGTCAATTTTTAAGATCGGTCCTATTCCAGAAGTCTTTCGGAGAATTTCCATTACCGATTCCTGTGGAAAACATGGCGGGCAAAGACTATTCTCGCAGAACACTAGCTCCTAGTTCGTGAACTTAACCGGCGACATTGATAAAAAATTCACGACAAAGGCGATAGAAAAAAAAATAGCTAGTGTCACATCGACTTTTATATGGCGTCATACATACCCGTTGATAGAGCTGAATGAGTACTTTCGACTCATCTATAATATGTCTATCTTCTATGTGAGCTTTCGCTATATTTTGAAAAATATGGAAACAAAAATTATTTTTGCGATTTTCTTAAAATCAGTTTTTTCGAGTATAACATTTACGTGGGTAAACCTTGCTCAATAATTATCCAATATATAACTGGGAATTTTTTTGGTGAGACGATAGAAACATGCAGGCGGGTCCTAATTGAGCTCAACTTTTCAATTTCCACTGGATTTACATAAAAGCATAAATATTTAATTAAACTTAGTGATTTTTTGTTACGAATTCGAAAATTCTTCTTTAATAAACACTTTTGGCAATTCAGAAAATCGGACTCTATTAACTTCTAGCGATGTGTATTTTGCTACAATTGAAAACTACCCCGGACATATTAGCTCGTATTCTCATTTTAAAACTTTCGCCTTCGTAAAGAGTAATTACTTTTAATTAGTAAATTGACGATAGCATACGATTATGTTGGAAATTTGAGAAAATATTTTAACCATAATCTGTATTAGTCAGAGCTGATATTCGATACAATTTTGGTTAAAATCAAATAAATAAATTGTTTGAGTGGGATCTTTAATCATTTTGCTGTTTGATTTATGTAGTCGGTGAGTATTTTTCGAATATTTAACAACCAAAAATGATATTCATCTTCACTTTTGAGCAATACAAAGAAGATAGTTTGGACTATAATTCACATTAGAAAAACATACTTTTCAAAAATCTTTGATCTTAGTTTTCTTCAGAATCTTTGAAAAAATATTTAACAGTTCACAAAAAGCTCCATGAATATCTATCAATAGTTCTTTTCATGTCGGGTGACAGTTAACAGTGTTTGTTCTACCTTGAAGATTTTTAATCAGCTATGTTATGATACACATATACTGTACTATTCTTCGGATACTACGTGCATAGTTCACTTTTCTTCTTCTACATAAGAATTGAATCGTGTGGTTTCTATCAGTTGATATCAATGAAATAACTCGAACTTGTATATATATTCGAGTGCGTATGTTTATTATTGTTGTTTTTCTGTCAAACTAACCTTTGCGTAAAGAACTAACAAATTCATACTTCATATTGTCATAAGAAATCGACAGCGCTTAACTGATGTCTTCTACAACATTGCGAGAATCCTTCGCTTTTTTTTGAAAACTGAAAGTACATCGTGTCATTTAGATTGGATATATTTTTCGTTCTATGGAATAATTTTTCGAAAATGCTCAGATAAATCGCAATCACAAGATTTTACAAACATTAACGGTGCTCATTAAAATATATACGAAACTAGCGGCAGATTAATATCCATTTTCGTTTTTGAGTTATTCGAAAAAAGACCACTTTCGTTATAATAAGATATTTAGAATACTTTGTCAACACATGTTTGTGTTAAGTAAAGAAAGATGAATGTAATTTTACATACTCAATTTTAATGTTAGATAGTCGAACCTTGATCTCTGAAAACGTGTAACGTAGATCTGGTTCATTATGCCAACAATCTTGAACTATCAGCCATAAATGATCATCACATTGATACGGACGCTGTAATTTTTCACCTCTCAATTTTCTTTGTCGAATTTCAATATTGCTTATATTTGTATATGGAATTTCAACTTGTGAACAAGCTTCCCACATGAGTACACCCATCGAATAAACATCAGATAATTCAGAATAGTTTGATCGACCTGCACTACGTAGAATTTCGACTGCACAGTATCGTATTGGAGCTGTTATTCGATCGTCGTTCTTGATTGGCTGATCGATCGATCGTGCATTATGATAATTGGTTAACTTGACTAGATTTTCTTCTCGTTTATTTGAATTCATTTTAAAAACAAGTACATTATGACAGCAGAGATCACCGTGAACAATATTTTGAGCAACAATATAAATCATGGCATCAACGATTTGATTAAAGATTTCGACAAGTACTTGTTGAGAAGGTTTAAATCGATTTTGTTGTAGTAAAGCACTAAGATTACCAAAGGGAGCACGTTCTTGTAGTAGAATAGGTAAATGAAGATCATTATCGACAAAACCAAAGGTATGAATGATATGATCATGCGAATTGAGTTGAATGTAAAATGATGCCTCATGATATGCAGTTTCATTATCCATTTCGATTAAAATAATTTGAGGCTCCCTTGGTTGAATCCATTTTGCTTCATAAAAAGTTTTTCCAATTTGACCAAACAGTTGAACACCTTTTTCGACATTGACATTGAGTTTGTAATCAAAGTGATCAGGCATTCTTGAACAGAAGAGAAATGTATCTGCATGAATAAAACATTTATCTAATATTTTTTGTTAAGATTCCTGATTACTTTGTAGCGACATTAAATTTTCAAATAATTTATGCTAACTCTTGTTTTGATGAAATCGATGATATGAGAACTATCGAGCTCAAAGTGATCACTATTGAGGAAGATATTTGAGGTTGAAAAATAGCATAATAACAAGTTTTCACACATTCAAATGTCTCGAAAACAATCTTGAATAATTACAATCAATCTTGACTCAAATTCTTTCGTTTTTGAAGTGAGATGATTTAGGTACAGAAAAACAAATCAAATATTTTCTTCAAGAAAATTGAAATTCTCAATCTTGCTCCTGAAGTATCAAACTGTGGACTAGAACATTCTATTAATACTAGACACTTATTATATCAGATGACATTAATCTATAGAATTAAAATAGTAATTTTTTTCAACAAATATTTCAAATTATCAAGGCATACGATGCTTTGCTCATATGATGGGGAATATGAATTTGCGGCAAAATCACTGTCACGAAAAAAACAAACAATTTGTCGCAAACTCAATAGAGGTATAGAGGTATAGAAGTGTAGAGGTATAGATGTATAGTGCTATAGAGGTATAGAGGTATAGTGGTATAGAGGTATAG